ACACCTGCTGCCCCGAGGCCTGGTCCGACGGGGGTCGGAGAGGCTGCGGCGCTGCTCTGACGGACGCCCTCGGCCGTGGCGGGGGTCGGATCCCGACGCTCGGCCGCTCGCCGCCCCCGCGGGTACCGGGAGGCTCCGCCCCGCGCGGCGGCCGCACTCGGAGGAATACGGCGCGGTGGGCGGTTCCGCGCTGCGGGCGCTGAGCTGCGGCCGCCGAGCTGCGCCCAGGCCTGCGCCGAGCCCGCGAGCCGCGCGCTGCGTCCCTGTCCCGTGGCCGGTGAGTCAGGTCCGCCCCGCGCGGCCCGCGCCCGCCCCCGCCCCCGCCCCCGCGCGGGCGCCGCGTCCCGGGAGAAGCCACAGGTGGGCGGGGGCCGGGGGCGGGGCCGGCGCTGGCGGCCACCCCCGCGGCTGGTCCTCCCCGGGGACTGGTTTGAGGGGGCGCCCGGGTTTGAGACCCTCCAACGGGGGTGGGTGGGAGAGGGCCTTTGCCTCCTGGGGCTCCGCGCAGCCAGCAGCCCCTCCATCTGCTTCGGCCCAGGGCTCCGCCCCTGCCCCTGGGAGGGGGAGCACCCCTGTTCTGGGCAGCGCCGACACCCCCGAGCGACGCCCTCCTCCCCGTCTGCCCCTCTGGCCGGTTGGATCGTGGGGGACCAGCACCGCCCCTGGCCCTGCGTCTCTTCCCAGACCGTGCTGCTCCTCTCCCGGCTGCTGGCTGACTGCCCCCTGAGGAAGAACAACATGTGGTTTTTGGAACGGCTTCGTGGGTCCGCGGAACACGGTGCCGCCCGGGGAATTGGGGGCGAGGCGGGGGACAAGGCCTCCAAGGGGCCCCGGTACAGCAACGTGCTGACACCCGACAAGATCCCTGACTTCTTCATCCCTCCCAAGCTGCCCTCAGCCCCAGCCGAGGCAGAGGGGCCCGCTGAGCTGGGCCCGTCCACCTCCGAACAGAACCTGGCCACGGCGGCACCGCGCCGCTCACCCCGGAGCCCGCGGCTGCCCGCCAAGCTGGCTGCCGAGAGCAGGAGCCTGCTGAAGGCGGCCACCCGGCACGTCATCCAGGTAGAGAGTGCTGAGGACTGGCCCGCCGCGGAGGCCACCGGCGCTGACCCCCAGACCCAGGGAGCCATGTCCCTGCCCTCGGTGCCCCAGGCCCAGACGTCGTACGGCTTCGCCACGCTGGCTGAGAGCCCCCACACCCGGCGCAAGGAGTCCCTCTTCCACAGTGAGCATGGGGCCCTGGCCCAGGTGGGCTCCCCGGGCCCAGGGCGCTCGCGGGCAGGCACCAGGGCCAATGGGGGCGAAGGGGGGCCCCGGGAGGCCGCGGGGGCCCTGATGAGCCCCAGCCGCTACTTCAGTGGTGGGGAGAGCGACACGGGATCCTCGGCCGAGTCCTCCCCATTCGGGTCCCCGCTGCTGTCCCGCTCCATGTCGCTGCTCAAAGGCTTCGCCCAGGATGGCCAGGCCAAGGTGAGCCAGCTTAAGCACTCCGTGGGCCGCCATGGCTCCCTGTCAGCTGATGACAGCACACCCGACACCAGCCCTGGAGTCCGTCGCCGCCTGACCCGCCGGGCTGCCCCCGAACCGGGCCCCGAGTCGGGCCAGGCACCTCGAGGGGAGCACACGGTTCGGATGGGCCCCAGGGGCAGTGTTCGCCTGCTGGCCGAGTACGAGGCGGCCCAGGCCCGCCTGCGGGTGCGCCTGCTGGCCGCAGAGGGCCTCTACGAGCGCCCCTACGACGGCCGCAGCATCAACTGCTGCGTGGGCCTGTGCCTGGTGCCAGGCAAGTTGCAGAAGCAGCGCAGCACCGTCATCAAGAACAGCCGCCACCCTGTCTTCAACGAGGACTTCTTCTTTGATGGCCTGGGGCCCGCCAGTGTCCGGAAACTGGCCCTCAGGATCAAGGTGGTCAACAAGGGCAGCAGCCTCAAGCGGGACACGCTGCTCGGGGAGAAGGAGCTGCCCCTCACCTCCCTGCTTCCCTTCCTGTGAGGTGCAGAGGGAGAAGCCCTCTCCTCCGTGTGGGCCTGACCACAGTGCTTCTGGGGGCCAGGGTAGATAGGGAGGTGGGCCTGGCCCCCATGCCCCTGGGGGTTCCTGGATCCCAGTGGAGATCCCAACATGATGTTTCCTGAAATGACCCTTTTGGAGGGGGAGGGTGGGCTGCTTCCCAGCTGAACGTCCCCTCCCCCCTCCCGGGCAGAGTGACTGAGGTTCTCAGGGTCTGGGAGTCCAGAGGTGGCCGAGGCCCCGGGGCTGAGCTCAGCCTGGCCTCTGCTGCGCCACCTTGCTGCACCCAGCTCTGCCCAGACACCCAGGGAGCAGTGCCCGACGCCCTCCTGAGCCCCGAAGTGAAGGGCAGGGGTGCCCCTTCCTGTGTCTAGAGCCTGCGTTACCTGCAGCCCCCTGCAGCCGGCTCCGCTCAGCCATTGCTTCTGGAGCAGGAAGTAGAGCTGCTCCGGGGAGTGCAGTGGAGTTCTGGCCACGCTCTGCCTGTGGCCCCTCGAGGTCCCTTGGGATCGTCCACCTGCCTGCTGGCCACCCTGGGTCAGCCCTCCCCCACACATGTGATGTGGGTGGGCTGTTGTGGGGTGGGGTCTGGACGGTGGGACTGGCCTGACTTGGTTCTTCACCTGGTTCTTCGCTGGCCACTGGTCTCCCTGGGTTGGCTGTGCACCCCTGAAGGACTTCTGTGCGGATTCCCACATTCCGCAAGTCTGTGGCAGGCTGCCTGTGGGCAGTGAGTCGGTAGGACCCCGGTGGAGCCCCCTGCTTGGCTGTCATCCCTTGTGCACCTTGTTCCTCCTGACCCCAGATTTCCAAGTCCCACTAGGGAGGTGCGGAGCAGACTCCCCGGGACCCAGAGCCGGTTCTTGCTGCATGTCCCAGGAGGGGCTGCCTGTCCCTGGAGCATCGAGGGCCCAGGCCTTCAGTGGGGGCAGCAAGCAGAGGCCCGTGTGAGGTTGAATGCTTGGAGCCACACACCTCCCTTCTCGGACTCTGACCTCTCCTGTTCCTTGTTCTCCCGGGGGGGCCCCTATTTTATGTACCCCTGCACTGTTTGATATCTGTGTGTTTGAAGTTGGCTGTGGATAAATCCTTACGGCACCTCCCCCACACGTGTTTGTTTATAAACGCTGTTTTTAGTTCAATAAAGGTGTTTCAGGAGTGCAGAGGCAGAGGTCTGCTGGCTCCGCTGTCTAACAGTGAGGGGAACTCGCTGGGGAGATGCCAGGGAGGATGGTGGGGCCTGAACTCCTTTCTGATCCTCTGCTTTGGAAGACTCCGGGGTGGCAGGAGATGCCAGGCCTATTGCCAGCAGGTCTGGGCACGGGAGACTGCCCACACCTCCGGCCTCACCAGCTCCTCCTTCCAGCAGCCCCCAGCAGGGCTGGCACCTCACCCTGTCCCTACCAGCTTCTCACTTGTGCAGGGGCCCGGGAGGTGCCACGAGGGCCCTCCCAGCCCCATCCTCTTCTGGCCACTGAGTTCCTCTTGCTGGGGTGAGGGAGGCTGCCTCTGTCCAGCGATGGGTCTCCTCCTCCTCCCCACCCTGAGTGTGCCCCTTTATGGGTGGGGAAAGGGAGGTGCAGAGGAGAGGGCTGGGCTGGCCTGGAGTTTAGGACCCTCAGAAGAGCAACCCGCAGGACTGGGCTGGGTTGTCCCTGGCTGAGGGCTCAGAGTGAGGCCCCACTGACTCCAACCAAAGCCCTTTGAGATTCTTAAGCCAGGCCATGACCCCCACTGCCCTTCCAGGGCCCTGTGTCTCCTTGTCCTCCAAGTGCTGAACTGTGTCCCCCTCCCCCTGGGCAGCACCATTTCCCCTCTCCCCAGGCCGGGTCCCGTCCCCGTTGGTCCCCAGGCCAAGCTGTTCTTGCTCAGCCCTGGACACAGACTGTTGGACTCCCCAGGGAGCCACCGAGGAGCCAAGTGCAGGGTCAGGGTCCAGTGCAGTCCCCCTCCCACCACCCGCGGAGTTGAGCAGTTGAGCAGCGCTAAGGAGGCCTGGTTGGCCCAGGATGTGTTGCCAGGGCAACGAGAGCCTTCTTGCCCATCCCCGCCAGCCGCTTGTCACTGGGCCTCCTGTGTGCTCACTTGATTGCATCTGTGTGCTAGCATATTCCAGGAAGGCACGCGCACGTCACCATCGAGTCCGTGTGGGCAGCGTGACTGTCATGCATGTCAGGACCACGTGTGTGAGCATGTGCACCGCAGGTCCACTGCGGGGTGCACTGTGCACCAGGGCTGCTGTGCGTCACTGTGAGCCGTGTGCTGTGTGTGCACACTCGCATGTGCACCTTCTCTATGGACAGGCCTGTGCCTGTGACGCATTGCCACCAGAGCCCTGCAAAGCTGGCCGTGATGTGTGTGCCACCCAGGCCCTAGAGCACCCGGCCCGGCCCGGCCTGAGCCCTGCTCTGTGCTCCCAGGCCCTTCACTTACCATCTCCCTCTGGGTGAGTGGTCCCGACTTCGCCTACTCCCAGGGCACCCCAATGAGGTCAGACCCCATGCTGCCCTGGCCAGCCTGCCCTGCTGTCTGTGACAGTGGTCCTGGGCAGGACCACTGCCATCTCACCTGCAGTGACCTGATGCCTGGGGCTTGGCCCACCTGTTGTGTGATGTTGCATGTCAGCCTGTTCCTGCCCAGCCTGGTGCCCGCCTGTGTCTTCCCACCTGCCAGAGGCAATGGGCATCCAGGTGGCCTCTGACCTCAGGCAGGGCCCTGTCTCCCCTGTGACCCTCCCAGGCAGGACCCTGTCTCCCCTGTGACCCTCCCAGGCAGGGCCCT